CCAGCCACAACGGAGGCCTGGGCGCCAGGACGTTGAACAGATAACACCGGCTCCTCCCCAGCCTTCCGGGGGGAGGCGCAGCCCGGACACCCCGACCCCTCCTCGCCTAAGTTATTTGAGTCACAAAGGCCTCTCCCCTTCCCCCCATCCCACGCCTCCCGTGTTCGCGGCTGTGGGGTCCTGGGCACGCGCGGGTGACCCGGAGCTGGGCAGGGCCTCAGACCCGCCAGGCCTCTCCTGCCCCCCCCCCGGGCCGCGAGACAAAACAGCGTGTCCCCACGCGTGTGCGCGCCCACCCGTGTCCGTGTCGCTCTGTGCGCGTGCACGCGCGCATGCACACATGTGGTCCCGTCCCGCGCAGCCCGAGCCACAGCAAGACGTGGGGTTCCCCCCCCCCAGCCCGGGCTTCCCTCCCCTCCCCACATCCAGCCGCCCCGCGCCACGTTTTGAAATCTCGGAGAGAAAACTAGTACTGTAAGATAAACTTTTTTGTACTGTATTTATTGTGCATAACAATTTTTTTAAGAGGAGAATTCTGTACATTTAGAACTCTTGTAAATTAAAAGCCGATCCTTTTTTTTAAAACTGTACTCCCGCCCCTCTGGCCCTGTTGTTTCTTGGCGGGGACGTGGGGAGGGCATTCCTGGCCCTGCCTGCCTGGGTGGGGAGCAGGGCCCCCCCCAAGCGGCTCCTGCCCCATGTGTTGGGGGGTCTGCAGGGCATGGGGAAGGCGCCCCAAGGGGCCAGGTCAGACCTTGAACTCGGTCATGCTTGCCAGGCATCTGTCTACCCATATGGATCACTTTGCATAGCAAAACGCGGGAAGTAGCTCCCGGCCTAGCTGCTCGGGGTCAGGGTGCTGGCTGCTTTTTATCTCAATATGGGCGTCCAGCTTGCTTCACACATACTGTGGTTAAAAACGCTTACTTTATATTACAATATAGCCTCCCAACATCCACATGTTCCAAACTATGCACTGAGCCAACCACTGAGGAAAAGTACAGAAGGAATCCCTTTGCCCATCTACTCAGGAGGCTGAGATCTAGCTCAATGATTGGGATTTGAGACAGGAAGGCACTCCATCTCTAGTTAACCAGAAAAAAGCTAGACTGGATACATGTCTCAAGTGGTAGAGCAACAGCTTTGAGTAAAAAAGCAGAACAAGGCTGGTGCCAGTGGCTCACAGCTGTAATCCTAGCTACTCAGGAGGCTGAGATCTGAAGCCTGGGCAGGAAAGTCTAGGAGACTTCTCTCCAATAAACCATCAGAAAACCAGAAGTGATGCTGTGGCTCTAAGTGGTAGAGGGCTAGCCTTGAGTGAAAAAGCTCAGGTACAGTGCTAAGCCCTGAGTTCAAGCCCCATGATCAACAAAGAAAAAAAGTTGAGCTATGTCCTGAATTCAAGCCCTGGTACCAGTTCATAAATAAATGAAAACAGCCAGGCTCTGGTGGCTTACACTTGTAATCCTAGCTAGTCAGAAGGCTGAGATCTGAGGATTGTGCTTCAAAGCTGGCCCAGGCAGGAAAGTCCGTGAGACTCTTATCTCCAATAAACCACCAGAAAACTGGAAGTGGCACTGTGGCTCAAGAGGTAGAGAGTGCTCACCTCAAGCTGAAGAGCTGAGGGACAGTACCCAGGCCCAGAGTTCAAGCCCCACGACCAACAAATAAATATGTGCAGAATGGATTGGGTAACCAGTGCCAGGAAAGAAATTGTCAGGGGTTGGGGAAGGGGTGCTTTACAGAGGAGTGAGGAAAACAGATTCAAGGAAGTTTACCAGCAGGGAAACTGAGGTACAGTCACTCCTCTGTTTCGTTGTCTTTCTGGCAGCATTGCTGAGAACTGAACTTTGTCAAAGCCTGGCATTTGCTAGCTAAGTGCTCTACCACTCGGGTTCCTCCTGCCTCATTCAGCCTCCAGGGTACTATAATTTCAGACATGTGCTACCATCCCTGGATCAATTATTAACTCTTAGTATTGCCTCTGTGAAGAAACAGATTAGGAGGTTGGTGGATGGCCCAGTGCTCAAGGAGGGAGCAGAACCGACTTCACCCTGCGCTTCCCTGAATGGCCACCAGGTGGGGGGGGACGCGGGACGCCGGGCCCGGGGCCCGGGCTGGGTTGGATGCTCTGGTCCTATGTAGCCGCAGTGGCCGCCGGGGGGCGCGCGAGGCCGGGGCCCGGGCCGGGTCGGG